CCCCCACCAAAGTAATTAATTCCGAAAGAAAACCATCTCAACGTGTTTTTCTCCGATAGCGCAATGAGCGGAAAACTACGTTACGTGCAATTAACTTACGCAACCTCATTTACATAACTAGGTTGAATCTACTGACCTTAAGAACTCCAAGTTTACGTGAAAGGTAAAACATCTCCGACGTCTGTTTGTGGTGATGGAATGAATAACAGATAAATAAATAAAACGCGAAGTATGAATGGATATTTAGGAGCAAAAGGAAAATATCTATATCTGTCTGCCGTGACAACAAAAGGACGGCTGTGTAAATGGTCAGCGGTAACATTATTAGAGCGCGAAACTAACCCCCTCCCCCACCCCCATCACTCCAACAAATCTTTTCCACCCCAATCTCTTTCTTCTCCCCCGGTCTTCACAGCCGTGCCATCGTTTCCGCTCCAAAGAAGACAGTTTCGACGATTCGTTTCAAAACTTCTGGAGCTCTCGTCGTTATTTGCAATTTACTTAAGAGGTCAAACGAATAAGGCTGTTTTGTAAACAGTGCAGACTGTTCGTGACATCGCCCAAGATTAAAGCAAGAGGCTTTTTAGACGGCATGCGGTCTTCTGCCGGTGCAGGTGGCGTCGTGTCGTCGTAAACAGCTTGGGAAGTCGAGCGTTACGTGAGTAAAATGAAGGACAATGGGCCGTTAAAATTTCCAAAACCACTTATAGTTTATTCCGACACCCACGACTCAGATTGCTACAGATCTGAGGACATCTTGAGGTCAATGGACGTTAGCTATATATGGAAATTTCTGTAGCTTTCATAACCCTCTTATATTTTCCAGTTCGCCCTCCTAAAATTATTTTCGACTATCGCTTCCCAGAATTTTCGAGTTTTGGTAAGAGTATAATTACTCGGCAGTTAAGTATTGACATAAGTATTACAGTTAGTAACCTTTCTTTACAGCTAACGTCGAACGTCAAGCCTTTTTCGTGTCAAAATAGTTTGTTTAATGGGAAAATTCTGCATGCAATAGGCTTAGAAACGATGTTACGTATAGTTGTCTCGATCCAGTTGTCTCCCATTAATCAATGTTGTTAAACATTTTTTAAACCGTATGGTGGCGTATACTGCCGCAGCTGAGTAGCCACATTGTTTTTTAGGTTTGTACGTCTTTCAATGTGATAAATTATTCACGGAATTATCTCATTTCTCACATGCAGGGGTCTGAGCCGCAAGACCGGAATTCCATAGATCTCCCTTCACTACAAGTTACGAAACGCCCGAAGGGAAGTTGAACAATGCAGCACCCTTGAAAGTCGTTTATTGGCTTCACATAGGAAAATTTTTGCCGTAGTATATTGGGTCACCGAATTGTACAAGTCATTTCAAAACGTGACGCATTTTGCTTCTCGCAATCCAGTCGTCAATTTTAGTTTATATTTCTACTCGCTTCGTGTCGTCTCGTGTCACTGAGCGTCGGCAAATCGGACTTTGTGTGGCGTGAGAAAATGAATAATAGTATTCTAGGGAATGGAAGTCAGCGATCAGAGTTGGTAATATTTGTGTCCAAAGGAAAACGGTATGGACCTATAATGGCTTCTGTTCCTGCGAACAAGGAAAATGTCTCTCCTGAGAAAGACATGGACTGTTTGTCAGACAGTTTTCAAAAGAGTCTCGCTTTGAATCACGTCGAGAAAGATGGGCGCTATTTCCTCGATTTAATGGATAGGGAAAGCGAACGATTAACAAAGCTTTGTCAAGCTACAGAGCAAGAGATGGCGAGTAAATCACTACCAGAAGATGGTAAGAAATCACGAGACAAAAACTACTATAAACATGTACAATGAACGTCTATGAATTTGCTTGCAGGTGTAAAATGCATCCAACTTATTTAACCTCTTCATTGTTGCTTGCTAAGCCTCATGAACTCATTTTAAGGGGAAGGTGTACTATATTCGACCAAAGGAAAATTTTTTTGTCGTATTTATAGCTCTGATGTCTTTTTGTGTTTACTCTGGTTTTACCAGTGCTAATTTTTAGCTTTGTGGTTTGGTCTTTTTAATTTTCCAAACAACCCAATTTCTTGGTATTTATTTTGATTCTGGGGAAGAAATAACCCTCCAAAAAAATCCCTAAAAGGAAGAAAGATATTCACAGATTAATTATTGGGTGGCAGAGTATTGTAGCATTATAGTTTAAGCTGCTATAACATATTCAGGACAACTGATAACTGACATTTTGACTGAAAGTAACTGAGAATTTTTCCTAATATGTACTCAGCAAGCACCCACATTTAACTGCCTTCACAAGAGGCTTGACATGCTTGCTGCAAAAAGTGGCAGATATCATGTAAACTATTTGTATGCACATGAGGTGATGGAAGATGCAGGAGAGTTTCAGTGGATAGAGGAAATTTTCCAAGTTTAATCAGCTGTTTGTGTCTAGAACTATCCACACCTTGAAATGTTGGCACAGTTGTATTTCAACTAAGAACTAATGTAAAATGTTCCAAAATGAGGATTACCTATTACAAATTCATTGATAAAATGTTCTAGCTCTTTATAATTTGTTTCCTTACAAGTTTCAGTAGCATTAAATTTGAGGCATTTTGAATGTGGCTGGAAGGGAAATCATGAATAGAAGCAAATTATTTGATTTATGCAAAGCTTCATGTCATAAATGTATCCATAAAAGTGTCTTTCTGTGATTTTATGTTAAAAGACCTTAGCAAAAGATATTGGAAAAAAAATCTCAATTTATCTCAAAGCAGACTTTAACTATTTTATGTTGCCTCTCTCAAACAACTTGAAACCTGAGGGCTCACAATGACACACAACCATGCTTATCTGCTGATGTACTATTTTTGTCACTTAGGTGTTTATTTTGTGGCAAGAGTTTCTCACAGTATCACCTAAAGTTGGCATGAGCTTAGTATTTAGCTACCTAGTAGGCCATGTTACTGCAAAGTGTTACTTCATAGCTTTGTTTTCAACATGGAATTACAATTCAACTTGCATTATATAAATTTATGTTAAAAAAGTGATAGAGATAACAACATGAGAAGTCCACTCCAATTTTGTTGCTTTATATAATTTGCTTGCTAGAAAGTGCACCAAGACTTCACACCAAACAAACTATTTTAAGCTATCAATGGCAATCAATTCATGACGTGGTCTTTTTTGTTAAGATCCTATTAGTTTTTAGGAACTTATTGCTCACAGCTAGTATTTGGAATATTATGGTTGTTGGTAGCTGAGCTTTCAGCAACTCTAATATTCCCGATACTTGTTTGTCAACAGGGTTAGAAATTAACACTTTAAAAGGAAGAAGAGATGCCACTATTGTACAAAAAATATTGTACATAATAGGAAGTAGAGAACTCTTAGGCCAGGTCAATGGCTCATAGGCTTGTCTAGTAAGTTTGTAGGTCTAGTATCCTTTAATAGGCTATTATTTTTGCCATGATTCAGTGAATCAATATTTCCTGTTAACAGGTTAGTAACTTTTGTATCTACTGTAGTTGGTCAGCTTGGAATAACTCAGTGGCCAATTGCTGGCCTACTACAATCTGATTTGCTACACAGCTACATTCATAGACACCTTCTGTCATCTGATGGAGACTTCTTGGGAGTGATACAGTCTTTGTGCATTGTGGCCAAAAAGTTTTAATAAATAGAACTGTCCATTAGTGCCATCAAAAATAGTCGGTTGGCTTTATTAGACTGCTCTCTAGGTCTCTCGGTGTCTCGGTTTCTTTTAATAACCATCCCATAAATAGACTTGTATTGCCTCATTGAAAAATTTTTGACCAGTCAAAAGGACTTCACTGTAGGAGGCTTGTTCTTTTAGTAACAGTCAGGCATAACAATACGAAATGGTTCCTTTGTGTCAGATTATAAACTTATAAAGTTCCCACGCAGGGAGGCGCTTTTCTAAATATCACTTATTCAGAAGGCAACCTTGTTTATATTGATTTTTGATAGTTGACTTGTTGCTTTGTCCAGTGCCATTTATCTGTTGTTACATACAGGGTTTGTATGGGTGATGAAAAAGCTGGAAAGTCATGGAATTTTATAATAAATTTCATTTTTCAGGTCTGGAAAGTCATGAAATTGAAGTGTTGGTCATTGAAAGTCATGGAAAAGCAATATATTTTCTGGGAATAAAAAGGCAAAAAGATCAAAAGTTGTAAATTAAAATAACAGACGAGTCAGAAAAGCAGCTTTAATTCCAGTAAAAAAATAAACACTTTCTCCCATTCTATGCATCGTAATGTGGGAAAATACCTTGAATAATAGATTGTTTTAACAATACCTTGAGAACAACTGCTTAACATAGGTCATGCAAAACTAAGAAAGGTCATGGAAAGTCATGGAATTTTAACAGTTTAATTTAAAAAAGTGCAAACCTTGTACACACCTCAAGCTCACAGGGGAGAAATTATTGCTAATAAGCGTCCATCGTTTTATTATGAAAATAATAAATATGTAAATAACATTGATTTGTCATCATGACCAGAATGATACGTGACTTGCTGTTACATTCTGAACCTTTTCTAATATCTACATTGCATGTGTGTATGTAAGGATATGAGGTTCCATCAAAATATTTTTTTTTTGGTTAGAAGTAATTTAATTTTTAACTGCATGTAGTGGAACATGCAGGTTATTAAGTTTTGCAATTATATTTGTAGGAGCATATTTTCTGCAGCCTAGTGTTGCTATAGGGCATTGAGGACAACATTAATCATCATTAACCATCTGAGTACAGTAAATTGGAGGCCAGTAGTTCTACAAAGTTATCAGTAGACTCTTTCTTTACTACTGTCTTCTTTCAGTTATGATAGTTCACTTTATATTAGAGTGTCTGTTAGGCCTTTCCATCTGTTCAACTAAATCTGTACATTGCCTCTTAATCCCAGGTAGTGTTGACCATTTTTTGATGTTTTTTTCTCTATAGTTTTAAGGTGCTAACTATTAAAGGTGCAGTATTTTTTGAAAACCAAGCACACAAGTATTGTTAAAATACTTGAAAAAATGACACTCTTAGCATATTTCAGACCAAAATTTATCTATTTTTAAACATTCTTGACTATGCATTTTGTTGCCCAGTTTCACACTTCAAGAGGTTTTTCATTGTGCTTTTCATTGCTCTGATTACTTATGGTCACTTCCTTTAAAGGGCTGGGTACCAGGCAAAATGACAACCAGCTTTGACGACAATTATTTTGCCCCCCTGGTTTGATCAATGTCAGAGGTTTTTTCTTAGAAAGAAGTTCAGTTTAAGAACATTAGACTGCAAGAGGATTGTTTTCTCCTTTATAATACCAAGACAGATAAGCTGGGCTTCAAATCAAAAAAAGGAAACTGGCAAAATTCAGTATACAGTTCACTTCTTCAGTCATGGGCACTAAAGCATCTCCCCCATTCCCAATACCCTGGTTACTTCACTTCTTTGATCTTCAGGTGAAGAGTAGTTTTCTTCAGAATCAAGACAGATGATTTGGTCAGTGTGCCAGTGATAAAATACATAGTTACACAGTTTCATATCTGAAAACAATTTAAACATCTTCCTTACCTTTTCATTTATAGAAAACAGCCTTTAGGCAATACATTTTATTAAATTTAAGAGGGAATACACTTGTAGTTTTTTTATATACAAGTCATGTGCTGTTTGCTTTGATTTCTTTCTTAAAGCTTGTGGGAAAATGCGGGCAGCCACTGGAAAAGCCAAGCTCTTGGTAAACAAAAAGTTTAAACAATTCAAAGGACTATGTGATACAAATTTGGTAAGGTTCTTTTACTAGAAATAAACATATGTCAATTTAAGTATCTCGTTCCTTATTTTTCCAATACCCCTTGAATAATAAGAGCCTGTTCCTAGATCAAGAGTGACTAATCATTAACTTCAATGCAGGGCTTAAAAAAAATTTGAATTTGTGCTTGCCCTTCAGATGAGTAACTCTCAAATTTTGCTTGCACAGGGCAAGTGAATGCTTGTTTTTGTTTTGCTTTTTTTGACTTGATTGGCAAATGTGTTTTTTGGTCGGGCAAGTGGTCATATAAAGTTGGTTGCCCCACAGGAAAATCTACTTGTCCCAGACGACTGGACTGCACTTTTCATATATATAATTTAGTTTTTCTTTCTCAGTAGTTTTAACCAATGTTTAACAGCATGGGTAGCTTAGCTTCACTTAACTGGAAGCAAGTAATAATTTTTATCTTTTGTTAGGGCATGGGTGAAACAAATGGTAGAAGACCAACAAATGGAGACCTTGCAGGATTCTGGGATATGGTCATGATTCAGGTAATATCTTTTACATTATGGCTTGGTTCAGTTAGCAGAAGCCAAGCCCTTGACTTTTTGTGCAATGGTCAATATTATACTGACTAAGCTTGTAAGGATATTCCTCATTGTTTTTCTCTGTATGTCTTTTCTTTCCCTAGCTTATCATACATCGGCATGAACATGAATCCAGGCATTGCGCAAAAGTCCATTGTATATAGCCCTAGTGTAGGGGAAAAATAATAATCTGAGTCTCCTTATAGGAGTTAGTATGCAATTTTTCAATCAACAATGAAATACTTCAGGTTTTTCTGGTTGGAAATGAGTACATGTACAATTAAATCAAAACAATGCATCAAAAGTACCATTTTTAAGCCTTTGAACAACCAGTTTATTTTCAAGTATGATTTTGGTTCGCCATCTTGGTTCATGTAACTGATCATGTGGGCTGAAGGCTCATGTTATTTGTTCCTTGTAGTCCTTGCTTTGGTTTTAAAAATAATGTGGCGTTACAGATCAGTCACAGATGACGACTAACATTGACCCCCTTCAAGTTCCTGCAGAGCTCCCGAGGCAAAATCCCAGTAAGAACACTGACACTTGATATATTAACCACCAACCCCTGTCAGGAGCCCTAGCACTATGCTTTCCTTGTAGTTTGTATATAAACTGACTGATATCTCCCTCATTATTGTTTTCTCATGCAAGGTCGATGATGTAAATAGCATGTTTTCAAGCATAGATGAATTACGTAAAAATGGTTGGATACAAACGCAGCCTCCTCCAGATGAGGTAATTGTCAGCTACTACATCACTGTGCAGTGTGTGGTTTTCTACTGAATGTTCATCTCTTGGTCTCAGTGGTCCAGAGGTCTGAATTAGAGCCTGAGGCCTGTCGGGCCCGAAAAGCCAATTTTAGTTAATCGGTATTTAAAGACGGAGAGATGTATAAGCCTGAAATTTCTTGTATGAAGAGAACCTCTGTTCGTATTAAGAATATGTAAATAAAACAGCTCTGTAGTCAAAAGGTTTGAGATTTTGCTATGGCTTTTCGGGCATGAAAACTTTTCGGAACCTTCAAGAAACGGGCCCCAGGTTTGGGGTCACTGTGTTGTGTCACTCTGTTGAGGTCAATGTCTTGACACAGATTAGTAAGGTATCCATGAGCCAGTCTAACCTGTAATGCACCATACTTCCTTTCCTGGAGTAGAAGTAATTACAGTCACTTCATGGCATGATATCTGAAGTTAAGTGCTAGCCTTGGTAGGCCATCTACCATCTTGGTCAGAATGAAAAAAAAAAGAGAAATAAAACCATCCCCCCCCCCCTGAATAAATTATGAACTCACAGTAAAACTGAAACATGCCATTTTTTCTATCACTGAAGTGGGGGAGAGGTGGCCAGGTTAATTTTTCATCTGCAATGAAAAAAAACCACCCCTTCCTTGGAATCAATAATGAACTTGGGTTAAAATGAAAACTGCCACTTTTTTCATCATTGATATGGGTGGAGAGTGGGTCTTAACTTGTAATTAATAGAAATGTTTGCTTAATGCCTGCAGACCGATTTTTCTAAACGATCATCATTAACCCGTCAGTCGTCGCTTTCAAGGCAGTCATCTCTGGGCAAAGGCTCAATAAGACGGCAAAAATCAAAAGAAGAAGTAAAAGCTACTGAGGCTGAACAAAGAGCGGCTGCAAGAAAAAGATTAGCTGCAGCAAAACGGACAGCAAGACAGAAAATGCTGCAGAAAAACAAATCTTTGGATGATGTTGAGATATTTTGTTCCCCGAAAAAGTAAAGCTGTGGACCATTGCTTAAAGAGTATAGTTTGAAGAAGCATATTTATGGAAGAATTTTTAAATTGAAGTTAGAAGCTAGTAAGCTATTATTATTCAAGGATGTTTTCAATTGCCCAAAATAAATAATATTAAAATTCAAGATAAATCTAACAATTAAATTGTAAAGCTTTCAGTCTATCACACAGGAAGTTAACTTATTTTCATTGTTTATCATCTCCAGACTTCAAAACTGACATGTTTAGGTTGAAGGGCTATTAAAAAAGGGCTGAAAACTGTTATTCCAGCTATTTAAATATAAGAAACTCTTCGCATGTGAACACCCTGCCATATTTGTTGTAATAAGTGACATTTTGTAGAAGTAAGTGCTCTTTGGCAGCCAGTCCTTCAAGCCATTCGATTATTGTTTTGTTTACGATAACTGAAGATATCTTATGGAACTTTAAACTGAAAGAAGGCTTTTAGAGTGATTTTACCTAAACAAACAATACAAAACAAAAGATGTAGTAAGGCTGGGCACATGTGTAGCACAAGTGCAAGCATAAGTGTGCGCGAAACATCATAACTGGGACGCATGTATTAATGGAAGTACAAGGAATAGAAAAGTTTCATTCTTTTATGTCTGCATATTTGAAACTGCGACCATTCTCTTAGGCTATACTTGTTTGCTTGCACTTGCAATGCCTGCATAAACCAAGCCTTAGGAAGTAACATTGTGCTTTACTCTGGGATCTGTTTCAGAGGAAATTAATCAGTAAAATCACTCTAATTGAGTTCATAATTATTGTAAATATCATTGAATTTGGGTTGAAAATATGCTGCTTCTAATAACAGTTTTAGGTTAAATTTAATAAGTATGAAATTATATGTATTACTATTAACCGAAAACAACTGTAAATTTGCTATTTATTTTTTGCTGTAGTTGGTGGAGAAATGAAAGAAATTTTTCTTGTGGTGTTGAAGTGTTTTGACTCTAAGTCAAAGTTTGTCCTCAATATCATTTTATCATACAGCTTGTATTTGTAAGGATGTCTTTGTGCATAGAATGCTCAACTTGCTGTGAGCATATTTTATTAGATGAAAAAAGAAAAGTGTAAGCAAAGGAATAAGAGGTATTACTGTATTTACTTGAAAAAGGGCCACAGTCTTTATAATTTTTTTTTTAATTTTTGATGCAGCGCTTTTTCAATGCGGCGCTTGCTCAGTGGCATGCTTATTCAAGGTTGGTGCATTTTAAAAACTATAGCAACAACAATCAAAACTAAGTTTATGAAAGTGGTATTCAAGTACCTACATATGGGCACAAGTGCCTTCAAATAAGCTTTGCTCTAGAACCAAAGTAATTCAAATAAAGGCTGTATTGTTGTTCCTGGTATGGCACTTATTCAAGGGCATTGCGCACTGATCTTTTTGCCGTCATGTGCAGGACTCATTCGAGGGCGGCTCTTAATTAAGGCCAGTACTTTCTCATTCAAGTAAATTCACTAATCATTTGACAGAGGTGCCATTTTAGATAATATTTTATAGATTAAACGATTTGTAAATGCTTAAGGGTGTTAGTACCAACAGAAGAGTTTTCAATGCAAGGCTTATGAAAGCTCAATGGGTGTTCTTAACAGTTGTTTTGAAGTTATTTCTTGTACATAAAGTAACAAAAAGATTTACAGAGTTTAGTGAGAAAGATCTCCCTTCACCCCCACTCCACCCCACCACTTGCCAAAACAAACTGCCAAGCAGTTCCTTTCTGTGGATTTTGTTCTCAAGAAATACTGACTATTTAAGGAGAATTTGAAAACTGTGCTTAAAATTTTTGTCGCCCATTAGTCATTAAGCAGATCTAGGTTGTCAGTAATTTGAGAGGCGTGTTTTAAGTGTATCACTACATAAAATGTTGTCACTTACAGAAATGATTGTCCGGTATATTTTTATTGAAAGAAGTTTGATCGTTTTTCACTGCCAAGAATGGTTCAAAGAAAGGGACTGGTTCAATCTCCTAATTAAGTTAAAAGTTGAGGATTTAGTATAACATGTAATCACACCTCTAACTAGCCCAATATGGAAATAATTGGATGAAAAAACTCCAGGGACTAACAGAATAAGACAAGGCCACAGGCTGAGTCTATTTTAGCAGTCGGGAATTTTTTTGTAATTCTATTTTCCCAAATTGGACTAGAATTTAATTGTATTACCTAATAATAATTTATTGTTATTTTGGGCTGATGATATAAATACCTGTGTTATTGGCAATTGCTGGAATAACTTATTGAATTCAGGTTTGTTAATAATTTATTATTTATAATTGTACACTAACCAATAGTATTGTTTGAACCTTTTTCAGTTGGGCATGAAATTTACCAGTGAAGATTGTTATTAGAAGTTTTATATCAATGGTAATTTTCCATGTATGGAAAATTTGACACCAAGAGTAGAAGTGAACATTTAAAAGTTGCATTCAACAATTTTCCATGTTTTTTTTTTTTGCGCTGTCATGTAAGCAAACATTGTTAAAGTTCATTCATGTAATTTTTGAAGACATTTCTTTTGACTTCCTTACTGTTAAATTCTTTGCCTCAGTTGAGTTTTAGTTCAATTTTTTTCATCCTAATTTATGGTTAAAATTAATAATCCTGAAAAATTAGCAGAAGTGCGTGCTTCATTAAGAGTGCTTATGAACATCTAGATCATGTTTTATTTACTGTTCTTTTTTGAAGTTTTAATTCTTACAACATTGGAATCATGAGTCACAAGATAACTTTTATCTTTATAGGTGGAGAAGAACAATAAAGGTGTTAGAATTGGTACTCTTCCCTTTGTCTTAATTCACAGTAAACGGTGTTAGAGAACAGGTACCTTACTGCTAGTTTGGTTTGCAGTCATATTCTAATAAGTTGAAGACCTTGTTTTGTAAAATTGGCACCTTCCAGTGTAAGTTTCATAGAAAACTAAAACAATGAAAATGACAGCAGAAAACAAATTTTTACTAAAGGTGCTCTGATTCGTGTTCTTGGTAACAGACTGACACTATCTTAAACTGAGGCAATTGTGGGGAGTCTTTTTGCGTGCCAATGACAGCGGTCTCTTGTGAATGATATTCCCCCACGTGATATGATATTCCCTGACATTCCCTCCATTGCAAGCTAGTTCCAGCTCTAAACTGAGAATATGAGTATGGCCTAATAGGAACTGTCCAAATATATTCAGGGAGACAACTCTATTTTATTTTGACATAATTTAAGCGTGCAGTGTGAGGCCAATATACCAGTTTGACTAACGTTTTTACATCCTAGTTGCTACCCAATTCAAAAAATGTGATGATTCATTTGGGATGTTACGGTGATTATTCTTTATTTTNTTCAGGGAGACAACTCTATTTTATTTTGACATAAGTTAAGCGTGCAGTGTGAGGCCAATATACCAGTTTGGCTAACGTTTTTACATCCTTGTTGCTACTAAATTCGAAAAATGTGATGACTCATTTGGGATGTTACGGTGATTGTTCTTTATTTTTTATACGTGCTCCCATGTAATCAGTGCTTGTGGCAAATTTAACCTTGCAAATGAATCATTGCATGGTCTGAATTGGGCTGCAACAAGGATGGTAGCTGAATCTGTCTACTTGGAATCATGAGTATGACTGCTCCTTGAATACTAAGACCATTTTACAGTTATCTGTTCAGTGACCTGGCCTTTGAATGGCAGCAAGGCTGGATGTGACCTTGTTTTGATACAGACCTCACTGCTTTTGTTGTGTAAATCAAGTTGTTCTAATGCTACCAAGGTGCATTTACATGACCATTCAAAGGCCAGGTCACCAAGCAGACAACTGTAAAATGGTCTACTGTATGACTCAAGCTCCTTTAACTCCAATCTATGATATTAATCATCTGGGATAGGGGTGCTTTTACTTTTTAGGGATTAAAAACACAGTTTTGGTACCTGTTAGGGTGGTCAGCCTCAAAAGGTCCACAGCAGGAACTTTTGTGGTACCGTTTAGGGTGTTGAGGTGAAAAAATTTGACAGGAGACAATGTGTTGTTTTAGAATTGGTACCTCAGTAGTGGTGAAAAACATTTCAAGCCACAGCTACAAAACAGGATCTTGGTACCTCAGGGATTTTTTTTCAAAATTTCCTTTTTATATGGGAGTTCCCCTGGGTCATAAACATCCATTAAGAATGAATAATAGACATTTGTATGAACCATTTCTGACCACTGAGCCACTAAGAACTCTTAACAAGCTTGGTCGTTACACTTGGCTCAATTCCCAGAGACCCAGGTGCTGTTGTTATTTTCTGATGACCGTGCTCTCTTGAGTGTAGCTGATTGTCATTTTGTTAATATTTCAATGCACTGCTTACTTCACATATTGCTGTCAATACTAATTGTGAGAGAGCCTTTATAATTCCATCAGTTTTGCAGAAGACTTTCCTAGAAATTGAGCTGTGAACCGACTCCAAAGGGTGAGGGACTACCTTCAATAACAAATATCCACTGACAAAACAAACCAGAAAATGACAATCAAAGTAAGTAAATGTTATTTTCTTGAAATGGAGCCATCGTGGAAATTTTTCGAAGCTCCTTGGTGGATGCAAATATTTGAAAAAAAACAAAAAGGAAAAATAGAACTTCGCTCACCAAACCCTCTGCAAAAGATCTGGTCAACTAAAGGCACTTCATAATTTAAGCCTATAATGGGAAAGTTTGAGTTCCAATGATTCAAGTGATGCACTAGGTGGTTTTACATCTTCAAAGGAGGGAATATTTTGTTGACCCATGAAAATCACAGACAAATTTATTCTCTGCATACCACAAGCATACCAGGCAATTTTGGACAATATCTCCTGTGAATAAATAAACAATACCTTCCAATTTGGCACTAAAATATGCTTGGATATTTGCCTGTGGACATTACCTGTTTTGCAAAGCAGTTTTCTGAGAGCATGGCTCAAGGAAAACTGTGAGGACAAGGACACAAATCTGAGCATATTTTTGCATCGAAATTATGGAAACATTGTGTTTATATCTACCCTTCAAATTTTTTTGTGTTGTAGACAGAAATTTACCCATATAATGTGGCCCGAGTCACAGACAATCTACACTGCTGGTATATGTGAGTGTCCAGCTGCACCGCAGGCTAATGTAATGAAGTAAATGTTGGTTACAATGAAGGTTACAGCTTGCACACTTAGCAACTTTCAGAAATTGCAGACAGGAGTGTGGTAAATGCGCTCCAGATCGCATAACCTGGGTTTGAACCTTGGCTGAGGACATTGCGTTATGCTCTTAGGCAAGACACTTAACTCTCACAGTGTCTCTCTCCACCCAGGTGTAGAAATGGGTAACTTTAATGCTGGGGGCAACCCTGTGAAGGACTAGTATCCCATCCAGGGGGGAGTAGAAATACTTCTAGTCCTTTCATGCTACAGAAACCGGGATAAGCTCCAGCCTGGTGAGCCACTTGGCTTGTATGCAGACTGTGTCAGGGGCCTAAGGTTAGGTATTTTATAACGGAATGAGTGTAAAACAGTATGGCTCTAACATCTTCATAATTTGTTTTATCATGGGAGACAAAAACAGGATACTAAAAAATAAGAAGCTTGAGTGAAACGCATGTTTATTTCAGCCCAAAGCTGCATTCATGCATTAAATAACAACATGTACTTAATATATGCAAATATACATCTGACACAAGCCATGGGTTAATCATTTTTAACTGCACAACTTCCATACTGGTATATTCCTGATCAATTTCATTTTTTCATTCTCAGTTAGTTTCATTTCAACTACTAACTACTAATCATTGACCCCCTTCTCCCTTGATTTTTTCCCTAATTCTCGCCTTGACTAGAAGGTTATGACGGTAGTTCACTCGTACGGGAATGCTTGCTGCTCAGGCTAAGCAGCATTAATCAACAGGTTATATTGATTAATAAAGAAAGAAAGCACAACTTTTGCAAAATAAGCAATCATAGAAAACGTAATTGGCACAGTATCTTTTTTCCTGTTTTTTTTTTTCCATTTAAATTTAAAAAAATGCAAGGTATGTATAAATAAACATTTCTGAAACTCATTTTAGCTACTGCTATAAGTGCATCGCCAAAGAAAATATTTCCACAAAATGTGCATGCTGATTAAGTGACAAGCTATAAAGGTTAAAATGTTCCAGTGTGCTGTTACACCCGGCGGTAGACACCCACTTGGTGTTTGCAGTTAGGACAGTTGTGGAGAACGTCCTTCAGGGCATCGATACAGAATGGAATCAGACAACAGCCAAGCCAACCACTACAGTAAAAACAACAAAGAAGAACACATTAGAATTTTCTATAAATTATTATACAGGGACCAAGGAGACTTTTCAGGCTACAGAGAACTGTTCTGAAAATTACAGCAATGGGCCCTTGGATGGTCTCAGTAATGTCCTACAGGGTTCGCCATGGGAGGTAGTGGTATACCAAATTATATACCTGAAAAGAAAAACCCCTTATGCTCAAAATTTGCCCTCAAATTCATGCAAAACACCAAAATTTGGAAAAACAGGGTATACTTAATACCCATAAAAGGTCCAATTGCGGCATCAAAATACTGTGTTCTTGATTTAAAATCCCCCTATATACTGTACACCCAAAAACCCTAACCCACCCTAATCCTACGCTAAATTTCTAGCAGCTTTCTTCCTCCAGGAATGCTACAAACAAAAGCTATCTTAATTTTTTTTTTGAAAACGGTTAAAATATGGACTTGACATGTGTTACCGCCTTTAAAGTGTGTGTCAATATCCATTTCTTGCTCACCTGCAGGGTAACAGCAGGTGCCACTAAATTGTATATATGTTACATTGGGAGGAACGTCTAAGCTGAGCCGAAAATAACAAATACGCCATTCTATTATATAGACACAAATGCTTTACTGTTTTACTCACTCACTACGCTTGTTCATAAATATTGTCTTTATCACTGGAAAATAAAATTAAATTCATCGCTTCGTACCTCCGTGGTAGTATAAAATGTCCTCTTCATATTTTTTAATTTGTAAACAACAATGCAGCACGTACTGCTCAACAGTTTCATTGGAATCATTGGCAACGTACTAAGGCTTCACCCACAGATTCCAAAGACTTGTAGAATCATTGTTGACAAGTATCAACCTGGGTTGATATTGGATTAAACAGCACGTAAACTTGTAAGAGCTTACGTTTTGCTGTGTTTCGACGTTCTAGAAGTGCTCGATCTTGCTGGAGTCTTGAGGATAAAGTAAACGATCACTGGTTCGTTCAATCGTTATCTAATTTTCCGTTTAACGGACTGGGATTTCAATTTTATAAGTTGAAATCACAGTATTCGTTTAGAGACTAATTTAATTTGTTGTCATGGTTGTTGAATGTTGCCCAATATTTCAATCACTTTCTTGTTAAGCTATTAAACTGCAGGCTTACCCCATAAGCGCCACACCACCACAAGCGATCCAAGTCAACGAGCCAGGCTCGTATGTAGTGGCTGTAACAATGCTAGCCTGACAATAAGGGCAAGTCATGGCCACAGGGTTTTCATAGAACCCCATGCCCACCAGAAGTTGAGCAGGCTGTGTGTGGATGATGGTCGTCCCTGGTGGTTGACCTTGCACTACCGGCTGCACTGGATACCCGGGTTGCACTAGATAACCTCCTGCCTGCTTTGTTTCATATCCTGATGGACCTGGGTAAGCTGGAGGAGCTGGCTGAGTAACAGCTGGTTGTTTCCCTGTGTCCATTTTTGTAAATGAAATTGAAAAGCTCTCTCGTAGTCCGAATACGCTAGTTTGTGGGTCTTCCTTCTTGACTGAAGCTTGATCGTCATAACATCGGGTCCAGTCTTCTAGCCGTGATGACATCATATTCTAAACGCGGAATGCACGACGTAAAAGTCCCGGGTTATATCATATTCCGCAAACAGAGTATAAATTTCAACTCTGAAAAGATCTTAATGGATCAGTTTTATATTTCTTACGGTGCTAAATGTCATGTTATCAATTTTCTATAAGGCCCGCTACCTTTACCACTCCCCCGCCCCAACCCCTCAGCACAAGCACACGCACACTACCCTAAGACTGAAAAATAAAATATAAAACTTGAATGAAATCAATTCGTTTTATCATTTCACTGAATGTAAAATAAATAATAAAAATATCTTTATTTGTAGAAAATGCCATTCATTCGTGTTGGTCAATTATTGGCTTTCTTGACAATTGACAGGGAGCCTTGTTTTGCTGACCAATCAGATTTGAGAGTTGTTATATAATACTTCCAGCCAATACTATTTTTCCCGCGATAATACCAACATGGCGGTTGAATGGAAGTTGTTCCCTGTTTTCTTTTTAGTATTAAGTCACCGTTCAGCCGTTTTCAGCGAAGATTTGGATGACGATTATATTGCATTTGAACCTTCAAGTCAGCATGGTCTAAATGTCGATTCATTGCAAGCAAATAATGGAACACAATCACACAGTAAGAGGTACCTACTCTACGATGTGAATCCTGGAGAGGGGTTCAACCTCAGGCGTGATGTGTACATGAGAGTGGCAAATATGATGAAACTCCTTCGAGAGAAGCAGAACTGGGTCCTTGTCGTTCCACCGTGGAGAAAATTGTACCACTGGCGATCCCCGATCGAACAAAACGCGCTCCCTTGGCGAACATTTTTCGACCTGGAAAGCTTGAATCGATACGTTCCTGTCATAGAATTCGAAGACTTTGTTAAAGAAACCGGCGAGCCGGCTTTAGACGAAATCCTTTATTTACAGGGCTACGCCGAGGGCTGGAAAGACGGACATTGGGAAGAAAAAATAGATGATAGAGATTGCATTGACAGACCTGTTTACCACAAGGATGAGGACGGCCTTTATCGCGGATACTTTTGGGGGATGGACGATGTCTTCGCGCGTAAATTTAAATGCCTATCTGTCCAGGGAACCGCAGCCATATTGGTTCCTACACTCCTCGAAAAGACCAAATCAAGGTTGGATTATTTTTAATTTGAATTTTTTACTGACACCTTTTTTGGAGTACATTACATGTTGGATTTTGCGTCGCATTGAAGTTAAGTTATTTATATTGATAGCTCAAAGATCAAAGGGACTTGAAATGAATTCAATTCCACGTGTCAACCTCTTTGTTTTTCACTGGTATGTTATGGCTAGTCTTAGGAAATTCCCACAAGGGGTGGAAGATAACCTTAAAATAGGTTTCAAAGTTAATCGTTCTCATTTAATTCGTGTACATTTTGTGGCATTACTGAAGTTATTTTAGTCAGTGAATCGACAGACTGCTTTTAATTGAAAAATGATTGTTATAATGACTTGACACAAAAATAACAAAGAAGATTCCATTTGATTTTTTTCATTTCTATGGAATAAAAATTTTATTATCAGTGTCGAAAATTACAATTTTTTAAAAGAAAAATTTATCAAATAGCTTAAGAGAAATTATTTACTTGGTCTACATTTAAGACAATATATGGGTACTTTTTAAACAGCGAATTGAAGATACACATGACCTGTGCATTGTTTTCTTTTTATACAATTACACAAAGGTATCATACGTAGCATTTCTTTGAAACTTCATGTAACCTGAAAAGATTTAAATTGGCTACTTTACAGTTCATAGGATAGCCATGAAGGGTTCTGCTCCACCAATTTCCATTGCAGCTCTTTGCTATCTACTATTGTTATCAACTGGAGAATGTTATCTTTCATTTGACAACATGAGAGCCTGACAGAAGAGATTTTAAGAGACTCTTATATTTGTATGACAATGACGCAGTGATTTTTGAATGACCTTTAAAAGGAAAACCAAACATTTTACATTTCACCTTCATGTTGCACCATTCTTAGGTGCACTAATAACAGCTTCTGATGGCTGTCATGTACACAGCACACGCTGGTTGAGAAAAACCATGGAGGGGTGTTGCTGCAATATTGCCTTTTCGGCAAAGGAAAGTGAGGTTGGAGCTACTGAAATATTTTGATACATGGACTTTTCATTTCTGGACTCCCATGTAGTCTGGATTCAAGCCTGCAGCTTAGCAATCAGTCTCCAATTAACACTTGTACACTCCACAGGCTCTCTAAAGTATTTTATTATTTTTCACTGTATTCCAGATCGGTGTTTGTAGACAGATTTGAGGAAGTGTTGCACATCATTTATGGAGAGAAGGATTACTGGGAGGTAGTGTAACTTATGTTTTTTCGATGTTTTGTTTTTATTGTTTCAGGTCTGTGTTTGTTGACAGATTTGAAAAGGTTATGCACATCCATTATGGTCAGGTGGAGTTTTATAAGGTAACCCCTAATTTTTCAATAAGTCTTACCTGAGAATTTTAACTTTATTACTGCAAAAGATTGACTTAACTCCTCTTTATTAGAATCTTAAAATAAACCCCTGCTACCTCTTTAAAATAAATTTGAACCTTTTTGCAAAATAAGCCATTCTTTGTTGGTTTTTTAGGACACCATCCCTCAGTAGGTCAAGTCTCCCTTTGGCCTAAGTGGCCAATACTGTTAGGTGTTTGTATTGTGTAGGAGCAATCTGCTACCCCTCCCCCCTGTGTTGCATTTAAGGCTATTGCAGGTACCTCTCCCTGACAGTTTGCTTAGAAGGGTCATGATGGTGCTGTGTCCTTAGATGGGACACGTGTAGGCGTATAAATGCAAACTGATGAATTCAATGGTGGGTAGAAACTAAGCGATGGACTTGCATCCCACCCAGGAGAGTAGAGATATTCCTGATCACCTCATGCTGCTGAACCAGATATAAGTGAAGGCCTGATGAGCCACAAGCGGGTGAAGATCCTTACCAGTTCCCACCATTTTATGGAAATCAGTCAGCTTTTTCAGAATGACTCAGAAACCCAGGAAAGGGGACTTAAGGGAGTTTAGATCTTTGGCATTTTGGCACTTGTTGTTTCTGAAGTTGGTCACCATTTATCCTATATCTGCCCCTGACTATGCTTATATGCATATTTTATACCTTTGATATACTTTGTCCCAGTATTATAAGAACAAACAAGATGTTGATCAATGTGGGTTAATGTTTGTCACAGGCGAGAAGAAGCCTTGTGTTTGCCAAGCACTTAAGAGAAGAAGGAGACAAATTTCGCAGAGAAGTGTTAAAATCAGATGATGAGAGAGATGCAACTGTCATGGATGCTGACTGGACAAAGAACCAGAAAAAGGAAGGAACTGCCAAGGGAGGTCCGTACCTAGCTGTTCACATGAGGAGNAGGAGTAAGATATTTTGTGCAAATTTATTGAGGTTATTAAATATTTTCTGGGAGATGGTTTCAACTGATTGTGGATAATTAATTATTTTGCAAAAATGAGTAAAGGAAAACAATACTTTTTTTAAAAAATTATAATACCAATGTGAATTGAAGAGATCAGATCCTTGCAGTTGTGCTTGCTATTCTTACTTACAAAATATCCGCCAAACTAGCCCATCTAGGATTTGCGGATCATGTGTACTAAAGGCATCCGCAGTCGAGTGTTGATCGATACCCGTTATTGATCCTTGATCAACACTCAATTGACATCTAGATCAACACTTGATCAACCTCCTGACTGATACTTGGCTGACATTAGGTTGACACTCGATGAACATCTAAATCGACGCTCGAACGACAGTCGGTCAATAATTGGCTGAATGTCAACTGACCCATATAAATTGATCGATACCAAATGGTATGTCTGCAAAAATTAGTGGACACTCCACCGACTGTCAACCAATATGTCAATCATGTGTCGATCGAGTGTCAATTGAGGATCGATAGAGGGCATCAATCGACACTTAAAAGCGTATGCCTTTAGTATACATGATTCGAATTTTCTTCCTCTCCTAACACCCTACTTGATTAGGGAATTTTACTTTATGACCCTCCTGGGAACTTGATAACCTGTTTTGAAAGTACTTTAAAATTTAAATCAAACCCCCAAAGGAGACTAATCTGGGTGTTGCTTGGGCTTTATTTGACCCTTAAAAGACCCTAAAAGATACCACTTAAAACTTAATAGGTTCTTTTACCGGCTGCTGTTCTGGAAAGGAGCCCGCACTAGTAGACTGCACTTGAGAGACCGTTAGAAATCGAGTGTAAAAACAGAAATAAGAGCATTTTTCATTATCAGCTCATCAAGTGCAGCCTAAAAGATACTTTGACAGTTAAAAATGGCGGCATTTTGTCATGAATACCCTGAGACCAGAATAAAATTTCCTCTTGATCTATACCCCTAAGTGAGACAATGAGCATCCCCAACCCTTTCCTGTGGGAGTCCCCCCCCCCCCCCCNCCATGGGTTAATCATTTTTAACTGCACAACTTCCATACTGGTATATTCCTGATCAATTTCATTTTTTCATTCTCAGTTAGTTTCATTTCAACTACTAACTACTAATCATTGACCCCCTTCTCCCTTGATTTTTTCCCTAATTCTCGCCTTGACTAGAAGGTTATGACGGTAGTTCACTCGTACGGGAATGCTTACTGCTCAGGCTAAGCAGCATTAATCAACAGGTTATATTGATTAACAAAAAAAGAAAGCACAACTTTTGCAAAATAAGCAATCATAGAAAACGTAATTGGCACAGTATCTTTTTTCCTGTTTTTTTTTTTTTCCATTTAAATTTTAAAAAATGCGTTTGTTAAGGTATGTATAAATAAACATTTCTGAAACTCATTTTAGCTACTGCTATAAGTGCATTGCCAAAGAAAATATTTCCACAAAATGTGCATGCTGATTAAGTGACAAGCTATAAAGGTTAAAATGTTCCAGTGTGCTGTTACACCCGGCGGTAGACACCCACTTGGTGTTTGCAGTTAGGACAGTTGTGGAGAACGTCCTTCAGGGCATCGATACAGAATGGAATCAGACAACAGCCAAGCCAACCACTACAGTAAAAACAACAAAGAAGAACACATTAGAATTTTCTATAAATTATTATACAGGGACCAAGGAGACTTTTCAGGCTACAGAGAACTGTTCTGAAAATTACAGCAATGGGCCCTTGGATGGTCTCAGTAATGTCCTACAGGGTTCGCCATGGGAGGTAGTGGTATACCAAATTATATACCTGAAAAGAAAAACCCCTTATGCTCAAAATTTGCCCTCAAATTCATGCAAAACACCAAAATTTGGAAAAACAGGGTATACTTAATACCCATAAAAGGTCCAATTGCGGCATCAAAATACTGTGTTCTTGATTTAAAATCCCCCTATATACTGTACACCCAAAAACCCTAACCCATCCTAATCCTACGCTAAATTTCTAGCAGCTTTCTTCCTCCAGGAATGCTACAAACAAAAGCTATCTTAATTTTTTTTTTGAAAACGGTTAAAATATGGACTTGACATGTGTTACCGCCTTTAAAGTGTGTGTCAATATCCATTTCTTGCTCACCTGCAGGGTAACAGCAGGTGCCACTAAATTGTATATATGTTACATTGGGAGGAACGTCTAAGCTGAGCCGAAAATAACAAATACGCCATTCTATTATATAGACACAAATGCTTTACTGTTTTACTCACTCACTACGCTTGTTCATAAATATTGTCTTTATCACTGGAAAATAAAATTAAATTCATCGCTTCGTACCTCCGTGGTAGTATAAAATGTCCTCTTCATATTTTTTAATTTGTAAACAACAATGCAGCACGTACTGCTCAACAGTTTCATTGGAATCATTGGCAACGTACTAAGGCTTCACCCACAGATTCCAAAGACTTGTAGAATCATTGTTGACAAGTATCAACCTGGGTTGATATTGGATTAAACAGCACGTAAACTTGTAAGAGCTTACGTTTTGCTGTGTTTCGACGTTCTAGAAGTGCTCGATCTTGCTGGAGTCTTGAGGATAAAGTAAACGATCACTGGTTCGTTCAATCGTTATCTAATTTTCCGTTTAACGGACTGGGATTTCAATTTTATAAGTTGAAATCACAGTATTCGTTTAGAGACTAATTTAATTTGTTGTCATGGTTGTTGAATGTTGCCCAATATTTCAATCACTTTCTTGTTAAGCTATTAAACTGCAGGCTTACCCCATAAGCGCCACACCACCACAAGCGATCCAAGTCAACGAGCCAGGCTCGTATGTAGTGGCTGTAACAATGCTAGCCTGACAATAAGGGCAAGTCATGGCCACAGGGTTTTCATAGAACCCCATGCCCACCAGAAGTTGAGCAGGCTGTGTGTGGATGATGGTCGTCCCTGGTGGTTGACCTTGCACTACCGGCTGCACTGGATACCCGGGTTGCACTAGATAACCTCCTGCCTGCTTTGTTTCATATCCTGATGGACCTGGGTAAGCTGGAGGAGCTGGCTGAGTAACAGCTGGTTGTTTCCCTGTGTCCATTTTTGTAAATGAAATTGAAAAGCTCTCTCGTAGTCCGAATACGCTAGTTTATGGGTCTTCCTTCTTGACTGAAGCTTGATCGTCATAACATCGGGTCCAGTCTTCTAGCCGTGATGACATCATATTCTAAACGCGGAATGCACGACGTAAAAGTCCCGGGTTATATCATATTCCGCAAACAGAGTATAAATTTCAACTCTGAAAAGATCTTAATGGATCAGTTTTATATTTCTTACGGTGCTAAATGTCATGTTATCAATTTTCTATAAGGCCCGCTACCTTTACCACTCCCCCGCCCCAACCCCTCAGCACAAGCACACGCACACTACCCTAAGACTGAAAAATAAAATATAAAACTTGAATGAAATCAATTCGTTTTATCATTTCACTGAATGTAAAATAAATAATAAAAATATCTTTATTTGTAGAAAATGCCATTCATTCGTGTTGGTCAATTATTGGCTTTCTTGACAATTGACAGGGAGCCTTGTTTTGCTGACCAATCAGATTTGAGAGTTGTTATATAATACTTCCAGCCAATACTATTTTTCCCGCGATAATACCAACATGGCGGTTGAATGGAAGTTGTTCCCTGTTTTCTTTTTAGTATTAAGTCACCGTTCAGCCGTTTTCAGCGAAGATTTGGATGACGATTATATTGCATTTGAACCTTCAAGTCAGCATGGTCTAAATGTCGATTCATTGCAAGCAAATAATGGAACACAATCACACAGTAAGAGGTACCTACTCTACGATGTGAATCCTGGAGAGGGGTTCAACCTCAGGCGTGATGTGTACATGAGAGTGGCAAATATGATGAAACTCCTTCGAGAGAAGCAGAACTGGGTCCTTGTCGTTCCACCGTGGAGAAAATTGTACCACTGGCGATCCCCGATCGAACAAAACGCGCTCCCTTGGCGAACATTTTTCGACCTGGAAAGCTTGAATCGATACGTTCCTGTCATAGAATTCGAAGACTTTGTTAAAGAAACCGGCGAGCCGGCTTTAGACGAAATCCTTTATTTACAGGGCTACGCCGAGGGCTGGAAAGACGGACATTGGGAAGAAAAAATAGATGATAGAGATTGCATTGACAGACCTGTTTACCACAAGGATGAGGACGGCCTTTATCGCGGGTACTTTTGGGGGATGGACGATGTCTTCGCGCGTAAATTTAAATGCCTATCTGTCCAGGGGACCGCAGCCATATTGGTTCCTACACTCCTCGAAAAGACCAAATCAAGGTTGGATTATTTTAATTTGAATTTTTTACTGACACCTTTTTTGGAGTACATTACATGTTGGATTTTGCGTCGCATTGAAGTTAAGTTATTTATATTGATAGCTCAAAGATCAAAGGGACTTGAAATGAATTCAATTCCACGTGTCAACCTCTTTGTTTTTCACTGGTATGTTATGGCTAGTCTTAGGAAATTCCCACAAGGGGTGGAAGATAACCTTAAAATAGGTTTCAAAGTTAATCGTTCTCATTTAATTCGTGTACATTTTGTGGCATTACTGAAGTTATTTTAGTCAGTGAATCGACAGACTGCTTTTAATTGAAAAATGATTGTTATAATGACTTGACACAAAAATAACAAAGAAGATTCCATTTGATTTTTTTCATTTCTATGGAATAAAAATTTTATTATCAGTGTCGAAAATTACAATTTTTTAAAAGAAAAATTTATCAAATAGCTTAAGAGAAATTATTTACTTGGTCTACATTTAAGACAATATATGGGTACTTTTTAAACAGCGAATTGAAGATACACATGACCTGTGCATTGTTTTCTTTTTATACAATTACACAAAGGTATCATACGTAGCATTTCTTTGAAACTTCATGTAACCTGAAAAGATTTAAATTGGCTACTTTACAGTTCATAGGATAGCCATGAAGGGTTCTGCTCCACCAATTTCCATTGCAGCTCTTTGCTATCTACTATTGTTATCAACTGGAGAATGTTATCTTTCATTTGACAACATGAGAGCCTGACAGAAGAGATTTTAAGAGACTCTTATATTTGTATGACAATGACGCAGTGATTTTTGAATGACCTTTAAAAGGAAAACCAAACATTTTACATTTCACCTTCATGTTGCACCATTCTTAGGTGCACTAATAACAGCTTCTGATGGCTGTCATGTACACAGCACACGCTGGTTGAGAAAAACCATGGAGGGGTGTTGCTGCAATATTGCCTTTTCGGCAAAGGAAAGTGAGGTTGGAGCTACTGAAATATTTTGATACATGGACTTTTCATTTCTGGACTCCCATGTAGTCTGGATTCAAGCCTGCAGCTTAGCAATCAGTCTCCAATTAACACTTGTACACTCCACAGGCTCTCTAAAGTATTTTATTATTTTTCACTGTATTCCAGATCGGTGTTTGTAGACAGATTTGAGGAAGTGTTGCACATCATTTATGGAGAGAAGGATTACTGGGAGGTAGTGTAACTTATGTTTTTTCGATGTTTTGTTTTTATTGTTTCAGGTCTGTGTTTGTTGACAGATTTGAAAAGGTTATGCACATCCATTATGGTCAGGTGGAGTTTTATAAGGTAACCCCTAATTTTTCAATAAGTCTTACCTGAGAATTTTAACTTTATTACTGCAAAAGATTGACTTAACTCCTCTTTATTAGAATCTTAAAATAAACCCCTGCTACCTCTTTAAAATAAATTTGAACCTTTTTGCAAAATAAGCCATTCTTTGTTGGTTTTTTAGGACACCATCCCTCAGTAGGTCAAGTCTCCCTTTGGCCTAAGTGGCCAATACTGTTAGGTGTTTGTATTGTGTAGGAGCAATCTGCTACCCCTCCCCCCTGTGTTGCATTTAAGGCTATTGCAGGTACCTCTCCCTGACAGTTTGCTTAGAAGGGTCATGATGGTGCTGTGTCCTTAGATGGGACACGTGTAGGCGTATAAATGCAAACTGATGAATTCAATGGTGGGTAGAAACTAAGCGATGGACTTGCATCCCACCCAGGAGAGTAGAGATATTCCTGATCACCTCATGCTGCTGAACCAGATATAAGTGAAGGCCTGATGAGCCACAAGCGGGTGAAGATCCTTACCAGTTCCCACCATTTTATGGAAATCAGTCAGATTTTTCAGAATGACTCAGAAACCCAGGAAAGGGGACTTAAGGGAGTTTAGATCTTTGGCATTTTGGCACTTGTTGTTTCTGAAGTTGGTCACCATTTATCCTATATCTGCCCCTGACTATGCTTATATGCATATTTTATACCTTTGATATACTTTGTCCCAGTATTATAAGAACAAACAAGATGTTGATCAATGTGGGTTAATGTTTGTCACAGGCGAGAAGAAGCCTTGTGTTTGCCAAGCACTTAAGAGAAGAAGGAGACAAATTTCGCAGAGAAGTGTTAAAATCAGATGATGAGAGAGATGCAACTGTCATGGATGCTGACTGGACAAAGAACCAGAAAAAGGAAGGAACTGCCAAGGGAGGTCCGTACCTAGCTGTTCACATGAGGAGAGCTGATTTCCTATATGCTCACCCTGATGGTGTCCCGTCACTGGACAATGCTGTGAAACAGATTAAGGAGATTCTCAAGAAAGAAAAGCTGAAGATGGTTTTCCTTGCAACTGATGCAGATAAAGAAGGTGATTCTTTAACACTTCTGGCAGCTAACTACAGTTTAATTTCCAGGAGTGTTCAAAATTCATTTTCTCATGGGAACACCAACATGTTATCAAGCAAATAAAAGAGATAAGAATAAAGGGATAAGTGAACAAAGTGATATTGTCTCAATGCACCACCAACTTCTCGGAATTGACGCTAAAAGAACTGTATGGCTGTCTGGTCTTGAACTTGGGACTGAAATGGTTGAAACCCTTTCATTCTCAAGAGTGCTGAAGTAAGGAAATCGTGAATGAAAGAATTTACATTCAGTTTACAGAAATTATACACAGAACATACAGCTGAGTAGTCTGCTGGCAGCCGGTTTTTCTCTAAGGGTCACTAGGATGAGTGTTTAGTCATCGTGAACGCAAAAGAGCGGTATGGTGGTGGCCGAGTAGGGAAGAAGGCCGGACAAGGGCGGTATGCCGCGCCCATGTCTCGTCCCATTTCCCTTTAGCCAAAACGTCTCGCCCCATAACCCCTACTGAATTTCGAGAGAAAAACAGACTGCCAGGAGTCTAACAGCTGACCTGCAACAAATCTTTGCCCAATCAGCTTTCATTTGAATGGTTACTAACATTGGGGGTTATTATAAATTACTTAAACCTCCCAGGACGGCACAATAAATAGTATGTACCGCATGAAACTACTGCTCAATAGCTTTCATTTTATGGTCACTCACTGAGGGTTTATCGACAAACCAAAAAGTTAGTACCACATGAAAGTACTGCTCCTGAGTAGCCTTTATTAGGGGTGGTGAATGGTAAATGCTAGACACTCAGCTAGTTGTGACCAGCATTTTTCTTTGCGTACCCTGAGACATTTTGACTTCTTCAAATGCAAGACTGAGACTTCAAAGTGTTTTAAATGTAAGCTTGAGAAGTTCAGGTTCTACGATGTTCAGACATCATTTATATATAATAAAAAACAATTGGTACTTGAAGACTTTCTTGGTCTAACTTGCAAAAAAATCAAGACTGTGAGGTGAACATGACCGCTAAAAAATGAGACTGCAAGACGCGGGAAATTTGACAAAAATTTGGCCAGACACGTGGTTTTTGAAGGACCATTTGCTGCCCCTTTTATTAAATGGTCCCACACTAGGGTCTATCCGCAGACTGAAAGGTGTTTTAACTGTACTATTAAGTTCAGTCTTCGGGAGGTAAGGGTTTAAAAGAGCACTTGCTGGAAATTTAACTATCATTAACCAATACTCATTGGAAGAATTTGGTTTTTTCCCTGATGATCAGAATTTCCTTTTAACTCCACACAAGCAATATTCTCTCTCTGTTGATTGAAAATATTGAACTGACAATTGAATTGAAAATATTGGTCTATCATGTAGGAAGTCCATGTTCTCCTAGTAAAAAAGTTTTTCAAAGCACTTTTGCAACCAACTCTTCTCAGTCCTACACAAAATGAGCCTGTGAGGTTATAATGGCTGAGAGCCCACCATGTGACCTGCAAATAACTGCCTACAAATAATGGTCTGGTAATGCATGTTCTTGGGCAAGACACTTCACCCTCACAGTGCCTCTCACCTCCCAGGTGTATAATTAAGCATCGGCAAACTTAATGCCGAGGGTAACCCTGTGATGGACTAGCATCCCATTCAGGGGTGAGTTAAGTCACTTCATGCTACAGAAACCGGGATAAACTTTGGCCCAGTGGACCACTTGGCTCATAAGCAGACTCTACCCTCATGCGTAGTACAGTCTAAACATGTTTTGCTACAAATAATATTCTGTGCATGCATAATTTTAACCACACTCTAATGTGAAAAATGGCAGATATCTTCCCAGAGCTGTGGGAGAGTGAGTTAAATATGAAAACAAACTTGATAATCAAATGATAAAACAAAATTATTATTGAACTCAGTTATTGCAAAATATTGTGAATTGATCAAATAATTGATCTGCTCCCCACTGACAAATCATGATATTTTGCTCCCCTGATAGGAACAGTTTTTACTTGTTGTTTCTATTAATAATAAAATTATGGGTGGCAGGATGCCTGTATGCAAATATCAGTGTTTGTAAGGAAGTTTGCTAAATAAAGGAGTAATCATCCAAATATATAAAGTCGTTCAAGAGTGTTTTCCACTTTCTTAGCTGTCCCAGTAGAGGACACTCGCATAGTCAGTCTAAATGTTCACAGGAAGAATCATAGCCATTGTCACTAGAAAGATGAATATGGTTCCAGGAAAGCTGGGTTATTGGAAATTTCAAGGGGGAGGGGGGTCCCAGAAGCCAAAATTTTTAACAGAATGTATGAACCAAACCTGGACTTTCTAGGAGGGATTGTCAGGGGGTGGGAACAAATGTCTGTCCACTGGAAGGGTATGGATATTTTCTGGAACACAATGCACAATATAAATTGGCTTATGTTAACTTGCTGTGATTTATAAACATTCCAGATTGACTTGGCTTCTTTCTGCTGACACTTTTCCTTAACACTGTGGTGTTACAGAAACTATCCATACCCCTCCCACAGAAGGTTTTTTTTTTTTAACCCTCCCATTCCTCTGGGAATTCCTATTTAGCTTCATATTTTCCTTTCAAAATTTTGGCTTTTGAAATCCCCCTCCCTCTCAGAATTTTCAATAACCTTCCTGGAACTAAACATTTTGTGTCACTCTAAGGGGTAATTAAAGACAACTTACTACGACCAGTCCGCAGCCAAGCAAGGCAAGGTGCCCTCCTCAAGATTTCCAAAATAACTTGATTCAGTCGTCAGAAACATTTAAAAGAGCTGTTTTGATTTGGATTAAGCAGAAATTTCCAAAAAGAAAGTTAGTTACTGGAACCATACTCACCGACCCGTCCCTTGAGAAGAAATTCCATATATGGATTTGTATAGAGAGGCCAGGCTACTGAGCTTTTTGGACAAAAAGTACGTGACTGTGGCATAATCTTTGATTGCTGGAAAGGAAATATTTAGCACTGTGCTCGCACATATCTATTTCGCGTAATTTTTGACGAAACGGAAGAGATGACCGAGTTTGAAAAATTTAGATGTTGGGATCTGAAGAATATGAAAGAATTTCGTGTTGTTATTCCCAGGGCAGCAAGCGATTGGACTGGGTACAAGACAATGCGCCTTTGGCGAAACTCGGATCTCCCCTTCTCGCAGGTAATGAATTTGTTCGATGAAACTTATTTGTCATTTTTTTTAGCAAGACTTAAGGCTAGTTTTAAGTTTTTTTTTTATTATTTTTAAGAAAGGCTACTAGGGCAATAACCCGACAAGAGACCTTCAATAAGAGAAGTCACGGAATCCTGCATGCTGATAAGACACAAAATTTCTTCAGAACTTTCTTTCGCTGCTTTTTTTTCATATTTCAACAGTTTTCGCATGGTCCGGATTTGTATCCTGGGTGATTCAATTATCCAAGATGGTTTTAATTTTAGGGGAACGCATATGCTTGGTGAGGAAAAGACATTCATCGTAAGCGGGCATGTGTAAAAAATTTTCGCGATCGCGTCGATCGATGGACAAGTCTTGGTACGTGTCTGTAGTGCGTGACTACAACATCTTACGGGGGTAGGGGTGGGAAGTGTTTTGTACACAGTAAAAGCCATAGTAGGTCGTAATTTTGCTTGATGTTTGACTTTGGATGACTTACCATGCAGATATCTGTTAGCTGGCTGTTAAGAAAAGTGTGTTACATGATCTTTCAAGACATAGTAGCTTACTTGGGGAATTTTGGCCAAATTCCAAGAGTCTGGCTGTGTCAAATTTGTTTCATGCCCTTTCAGGGTAGACTTAGACTCGCGGAAAAGTTATTAGTCTCACTGACTTACAAAGTCTCAAAATTACTATTTGATACCACTCCAAATTATAGATTTTGTAAATACAAAAAAGTATATAATTTTCATAGGACTCCAGGAAATCTGTCCAACCTGTTTTATCAAGATGAGTCTGTAAGCAGTTTCTCAAACTAAACACACATGCTTGGATAAAAGTAATTCACACCTTTGAAATTATATCAATAATAACCTCAATATTTGTGAAAAATATGCTGGTTTAAAATTATGTTGCTTTGAATTTAATTGAATATAAACACCGAAACATACCAAGACAAAAAGTGGAGTTGTTGAGTACAAAATTAAAATGAGGGTCAATGCAAAGTTGTGCCCCAGCGCTTAGTTCTTGACACTGTACTCACATGTATGCATAGACCTTGCCACAATGCGAGCTTTGTTTCTGATCATTCCCAGACTTCCTCATACCCGGCATGATTAAGTGAATATTTTTGACATACCATAGGTATTAATTTCACCAATTCACTGATCAGGGATGTGTTAACAGATTACAGTCTTTCCTTCATAATACATGTACCTATTTTCAAGTTCCAATTAAATGCAATTTGTGCCAAGGATTTGCCTGCAGTTTGTGTAAATTATAAAGTGGCAGGCAAGATGCAGCCCTATCCAGTCAGTCTTTAAAAATGAATTCAACTTCTCGTTCTGGTGAAGTTTTTGAAGAAAGTTTTCGCTTTGTTTGATGTGAGTAACTCTCGGTTTAAAGTAGCAACCTTGAGCTTGCCATATAAGTGTTAATTAAATAGTTCCTCTTTTGATCGAGGTATGTCATTAATTTCTACTGAAGGGCAGTAGATTTTCATTTTATCTAGGAAGTATTCAGACATGTATATATATTTTTAAGATTTATATATAAGTATCTTCTCCCACGAAAACAGAGAGAATGTTTGGTTAGGAATTGAGACACGTTACAGCATAGCATACTCCTTGCTGAGCTACTTCCGGTTTGTAGGTCAACTATGCAAACCATGAAAAACAAGAACTGTACTTTGGTGCCAAAATAAAACCACTTGCTGATGAGCGTTTGACACCGAGTGACAATTAATATCATAATCACCCTGGTTCTTTAATATCGCTTTTGAAAAAGACAATATCAGCTTAGCACTGAATTACGCAAGCTTTGTACCAGGAAAATTCATCGAACGAACTCAATATCCGTTATTTTATCGTTCGATGCTCGATTCTCGACTTGTGGAAGGTGTGATACTAAGTATAAACAGCGCTTTAAATGTAAATTCTTAATAAAATAGTTGTTTTCTTCGATCTCTCTTTTCTGAGGTTGTGAATTCACTGATCGAAGTCCGTTCCAGCTTCGTTTATCGTTGCGAGAGCACAATTCTCCTAATTTTCCCATGAATCGTTTTCATATCAGCTACTACGTAATCCTTAATTTCTTCGAATTTACGCTTTCTCCTTTTCTTTTTCTTCCAGATTTCATGACGATGAAGAATTTCGCGCCGTGCGCGATATCGCTCGCGAAGGAGGTGTGTTCGAAACACGCACAGGAAATCCTATTCTTCACTTTTCTCTGATGAGACAATCAATTCTCCTTGGTTGGCTTTGTCTGATGATGGCGCTCATTGTTTTATCGACCAATCACACAATTCATCGTATAGGGTGGTCTTAGCATTGATGCAATCGCCTAGAGCATGTGATATTTGCACGAGGGTTTTGCTGATACAAGAAGCTCGGAGTGGATTCTTACGCCGCCATTTTGATTAGCGGGAAAGGAATTTCAACTCGCTTCTAGGGTGGTCTGTTTGGAGGTGAAACGGACTGCAATATCATCCTGAAGGTTTCAAATACTCCCATCCTGACTCTTTGGTGTTCTGGTGTGGTTTCGACGAGAGTCAGCGCGGAAAATAGAAGACGAAAATTTGGTGTTTTTTGCATATATCAAGTTTGGTGTGTTCTTTTGCGAGATTAGAACACGCACCACCAAGACGTGGCGGTCACGTGCTCGTCGCGCTAAAAAAACGTTTTCTCTACTCCCCTTGAATGGACTTTAGAAACTTTAAATTTTGAGGTGAACTTAGTCTTGTGCTTAATATTTTGGCCATAATTCCCTGTTGTAAGCAGCCGCGAAAATGCTTTCAACGGGGCCTCGTTGCCATCGGCAGTCATTGTGAAGTGAAGTATGGTAGATGGCTCAAATGGCTCCCGCACTGACCGAGGCGACCGCGTCTCCAGAGTCCTCGAGGAAGAATTCTGTGGATCGTCACTATTCATCAACGGTACAAGGGGAACTTAAGCAAGAGAATACTGGTCGAGCACTGGACTTAAAGCTGGTTTCTCCGAACGGACTTGTACGATTGATAAGTGACAATAACATTGCAGACATTACAAATACTATCAAGCCTTCGGAGCAGAACACACCCATAGTTTCAAGACTCACCGGAGATTTGAGAGGGAAAAGTGAGATGCCAAACGGACATTGTGATGAAAAACTGCAAGAGAGTGCCGCAGATATGTCAAGTAATTCCGCTGCTACAGAGGAAAAGCGAAATTCGTGCCTTGATCTTCCGCGAAAGACATGTGCTTCAACGGCGAAGACTTCGGCTGGTACATGCAATACTGTTTGTGAAAATGAAGAGAAGAGTCGAGTTTCGGAGCATCCGGTAGCTAACTTAGAATTTGGGAAGGCCTTAATTCCTCAAAGGACTACACAGGCTTTTCGACGGCAAGGAAAACTGGATGGCCGAGCGAGACGAATCGAAACGCGCCTTCGCAAACTTCAAGCGCGGCAACTGAGTGACCATGTGCTTCAACAATTGGAAAATTTGGCGGAAAAGCGTGGTGAATCTCGCGATTCCTCCTCCGCTAATTTCGAACCAGTTGGAAATTCAGGGGTCGGGATTATTCCCGAAACTAAAAGCGCGTCGAATATTTCAACGGGAATAAAAGCAGATCGAGTTGACATCAAAGCTGTGCCTGGAAATCTTGCAAGCCGGGCGAAAAACAACAACGCAACGAGTGTCGACAGCGTATTGAAAGAACTGGAGCGTATTTCAGCTGAATCTTACAACTCCGAAGGGAGCATCTTGACTGATTTAAAACAAAATTTCGATGCTGTAAATTCAGTGGAAAGCTGGAGTTCGCAAGTTGAATTTCTGGAGAGCATTGATGATTCAGATGCCACCGAAGCGAGTTCCGGAGAAGAAAGCGACGAAGAAGGTGAATCGAAAAAAACGAAACTACGGAGCAAACGGTGAGTACAATTTTATTATCTTGTCGAAAGTATGTATGATCGCCTTTGGAAGCGAAAAAGAAATATCTTTTCGCATCTTGCTTATTATCAAGAAAAAGCGTGGGAGCGGAACTGTGCCGCGAAATTTATCCGCAGCGAGACTTTTCCAAATTCATTTAATGGAGGATTATGGATTTCTGCCTGTTTTTGAACTTTTGTCAGGTTATATTCAACTTCTAAGGTTAACGGGAGACTTTTTTCACGTAAAAGTCGAGTTCTGTTCGAAATCTGTAAGCAATGTGGATGACATTTTAAATTTCCCTCGCACGAAATTTACAACAACGAAATAACGCGATCTGAAGCGGGAAATAGCTACCATTTTCATCTTCATTCCCCTTTTCAATGAAAACACTCAAATTATTACCGCAAACTGAGCGATCACAAGCTTTTGAAACAATGTTTCGCTGTTTTTCTATGTTGGGAATTTTAATGCTGTTGGGCGATTCGTTTGCCTATCGTATTTTCCTGACATTGCATTCCAATTTCTCTGTTTTGGTCTGACATCAAGGCCTTCGCAAAACTTCATATTGACCAGTGACTTAGGCTAATTCGCGATAAATGTTGAGGAGTGAACGTTTAAATGTGCCTTTAGATGTTGTTTCTCGGTTGTATTTTGTTTATTTTCCATCTTCTGTCCTGTTTTAAGAAAATTTGCATATTATGTCGTCGATGCTATATAAGGAAATTTTTAATTTTTCAGAATGGCTTTTTCCCAATCCTAATTTTATTTGAGATGTATTCCAAATTTACAGTTTTATGTTTACAACTGATTTTGTGAATTTTCAGGAAGCTGTAGTATCACGCTATCTTTTTTGTTTTCTACTACAGAAGATAAATTTTTTGTTTTCTAGTTTGTACTTGTTTTGAATGAATTATTCTCATCAGGGCTTTTCTTTGTACCTGGTAAATATTTGAAATCTTGGTGTATACGACAGAAAAATAAATTATTTATATATTTACATTTTTGATGACCAGCAAGTATAACCTTATAAAATTGTCAATGCAAATATTTCTCAGTAGGTTTGTGTAAATCATTCACTTGTCTGGATTCAAATCAGCACCTTTGCATGCCTTTTGTTTGTAAACATGTTATAGGATTTTTCACTTAAATCTCAAGATCGTATGCAAGGGTACATGTACACTATATAAACCCTGCCAGTTGATTGTAAGAATGGTGTTCTTCTCAAGCATCGTTCACACACTAAAATTGTTTTTAAAATGTACTTGTTATTGCACCTATAGTAGACGTTGTTCTAGCAAGTTCTTATCATATAACAGTATTTGCGTGTGTGAATGTTGCATTATTTTTAAGTTAACATCGCTATGGTGTGTGTTAGTGTAAAGTCAGATAATTTGCTTCGTTTCATTATTGTTTCATATTGAGTCACTTAAACTATTAATTGACATGCTAAGTTAAGTGAATAGTGAAAGATGTTCTGAGATCTTGGAATTATCACATTTTATTTTCAGTTGTATCCTGTGCCATAATAGTTAAATTAAATCATGAGTGAGGCCTGCAAGAGAGATTTCTTGTTGAGAAACTTTGACATTCCTGTTTACTTTGTAAAATTATATGGTATTGCTATATCGATTCAACAATGTTGTTATGCAATCATGCAGATTTGAAATTTGAGTACCTACTTTTCACTGTTGTATCTTAAGACAATGGCATAGTAGCTATTCTCTTTATGTGTAACTTACAAAGGAGGTTAATGAAGATGGGCTTTAAATTAAGAATGGCTTAAATGCATTTGTATTTGAGAACATTCTCAGTATTAGCCTCCACTTCAAACTATTGTTGTTCAACTTGAACAACGACGATATTTTGTTGTAAACCATTGATATTTAGTTAATTGTATTGTTGCAAACAGGGCGAAGATTTTCAGGAGGCAGTATCGCCTGGAAGAAGGCATAATAGCTTCCCATTGGTCGTGGCTCCAGTCTCAGATCATAAACGTTGAAAGACAGATCAGGCGATACGATGATCTTTACAAAGGAGGAAGGTTGAGGAAAGGAACAGTAAAACTTCAAGCTTGTTCCTCAAATGCTAACTTAGCACGAGGCAGCAATGACATTGATGGTAATGGAATTATAAAGGGCATTAAGAACAATGCTGTGTCAGTGTCTGCTTTAGACATTGCCAAGTCTAAACACTATGTTGATCACAGTAAGAAGGATTCATCAAAGGAGTCTGATAACCATGTACCAAATGGAGTCAAGCGTAACCTCCTTGATAGTTCCTTGTTGAATGATGAGGATGTTCCACTCAAGCGGTATCGAACAGTCCTTCCAAATGATTCTACAGACAGCAAGCTCTGTGGCTCTTTGCCATCCACTTCAAACGATGTGTTTCCTCAATGTGCAAGAACTAGAGGAGTTTATACAGTCAGGAAGCGGCGTTTAGTACACTTATCGCACATTCGACATAAGCCCAAACCTCATTCATTGTACTGTGGCTGTGTAACTCCTTCCACACCTTGTTTGATTTGTTCTAATTCGTCAAGGACATTACCGGTGGTTAGTTCCAGTCAGACGACAGCAGAGAAGGTGGCGTCCCTGGATGGTTCATTCCATCCTGTGCTTTCTTTTTGTACAGGTAAAGGCAGAAACATTTAGCCAGAATAGAACCGTTTATTCTGAGGGAAAGGTTAGAACTTTCATATGATCTGCTGCAAAACGTTTTATTAACTGGGAGTAGCATGTTGGTGTTATTTTGGAGACTTTCATTCCCAAACTACAACACAGCTGGTGTCATTCTTTCAAAGTGTGAAAACATTCTGTGTCATACTTGAGACCAAAGTGTCAATTCTTATGAGATGTCATGGACAATTTGTCTTAAGCAATTGAAATGCGCTGGTGTGTGACACAATCTTGTTGAATTTCTCAATATAGTTTTAGTTTTCCAATTTTTTTTTTATTGTTGTTATTATTCAAAACATGAGCAGAACATGTCTCTCTGACTTAACTCCAAATTGCCCTGTTCTTAACTTTTGTATTTCTATGCCCCTTTAAATGTGAGTACTGCTAAGGATGGGGAAGTTCAGTTGTACAAATGCAAATGGGAGCCACAACTGAGATTTCCACCATAGGTGACAATATAAGACCAAGGCTTTGGTGCATCTGCATTCTAAAGGCAGCTTTGGCCTATACTGCCTTGTATGAGTTATTTTGGCCAAAGCCATTGTCCCAAAAATTTGATTGAAAATCTAAATTATGTAGTAGACATAACATTGCAACACACCCAATGAAAATTGAAATGTGAAGCAATTACATTTTTTAAGCTCACTACAATTGATTGACAATTTTATCACCAATGGGCCTGTTGAAGATTTTCCTGTGTAGACATGTTATACACATGAAACAATAAGGTCGCCATTTTGATGGTCAACTGATGACTAGAATTTGATAGTGCTTTTTGGTTATCAAATTATGTTCGTCTCAATTTTGTTCCAAGCATGACACAGGCCTTAGGAGATTCATGATACCAACACCAAACCTTCATCAAAACAGGAGCAAGTCTATTATAGCAAACTAACATCAAAGAGCAAGCCTTAGATATAGCTGATAATTTGATTAATTTGTAGCGAGACAGACCGGGGCTGCGTTCAGGCTTGTAACCATAAATGCCATTATCAAAATCAGATGACTGCAAACCTTAGTGCTCTATTTCCTCAAGGGAATAAAAAAGCTGAATAATCAGTGAACTGAATTGTGACTGATGTGTCCTCTGGTGTGCTTTTAGACATTCCTCTCCAGTTGCATTTTGGTGCATTGTTGAAAAGGGGTGGCTTTGAGAAGAGGACCAAACCACAAGCATTGAGAACTACATCACAGATAGTAGAGAAGAAGTAAGTCAATTATCCTTGGTTACCGTCATTTTTGTTTTTTCTCATTATTCAACAGACAGTCTATTCTTAAGCAATTGTGGAAACCACGGTCAGTTTTGTTGGGTATGGAAAAATTGTTGCAGGTATCAGACTGCGAAAATGCAGTTATAAGTATACTGAGCAGTGACTTGACTATGAGTGAACTACAAAAAATTGCAATTTTATGACTCATGGCCAGTTAAAACAATTTTAAAGCCCTCTTTTCTGCTGCAGACTATGTAAGACCTGTAGTGATAAATATGAGTCGGTAGCAAATGCTAATTGTTACCAGCATAATTAATGTAAACCTGGGGTTTTTGTCACAAAATGAAACACTGTAATGCTTGTTTTTCCTTTCTTTAATTGATATCTGTAACTGCTCCCAGTTTGCTTTAAAGTCTTGAAAGCAAAGTTGTGCTAGCTATATCATGGACAGATGGGTCAGTGTGGAGGTTGCTAATTAATTCTTCTACCCTTGAATAGCATGGAAACCGGCCATTTAAGTTTAGCATAAAAGGTGGCCATGTCATCGCTAAGAATAGCAAATGAAATAAGACAGTGTTATTGAAATGTAGATTTGTTCAATCAGCTGTCACAGCTGAAGTTGAGACTGGAGGTAGTTTGGGGCACTGCTTAGTTTAATACCTGTCACTTTTTAACCAGTAGTCATTATAAGTATTAAAATGTGTGTATCACATCAAAGACAGACAGGTTGAACTATTAATTTAGTGTTTTTATTGACTTCTTGATGCTGTAAATTTGTTATGCTAATTTTGAACTTCATAATGTAAATTAGTTTTCCTGAATGGAACGTCTGCATGGTGTTGTTTTGCGAAAGATTTATTTCTACTAGTCAAAACTCTGAAAGGATTGCTGTCAAAATGAGAGAAAAACCTTAGTTTGCTTGTATTTTTTT